CAACACTGGACAGTATTTCTGCTACTGCGATACTGTAAGGTATGCCAGATTTTTGCTTTTTGGACCAAAAATTGCAGAGGATCAGGGATTGTTTTGGCAGCTATAGCTATTTACGGTTAAGGAAAAAATGTGAGGAAAACGATGAATGGGGAGTGGCGGGAAGAGGGGAGGGGAAGCAAGGGGAGGGGAAATTTTTGGAAAATTTTGTCAAGGCAATTAAGAGGGGTCGTTTTGGTTTGCAACTATAGCTATTTAGGGTCAAAGAAAAAATGTGAGAAAAACGATGAAAAGCATGTAAGGAATTATTAAAGTAGGTAAGAAATGTTTCAGTCCATTAAGTCGTATACGTTTCTTACCTTTATCGTAATTGGCCTCGTCAGTACGACGATTGTGGTAAAGGAGTTTTGAAAATTAATTAAGTAAGAGAGGGACTAAATAAATTAGTTAATGTGTCAGCTTCTAGAGTTGTTCAGTGAATGTGCTGTGTTCACAGGACAGTGTTGGTGGATTGCTCAACAGGCAAGGAAATATTCAATGTTGCATTGCCGCGCACCCAGCAAATTGTCTTCTCACCACGGGATCGTTTATTGGCAACCTGTGAACCATATGTTGTTTATGTTGCCCCAAAACCGGTTCGTTTTTTTCTTTTTTTTTCGTTTTTATTTAAAACTTTGACTATTATATTTTTATTATGCCTTTTTATTTTTTTTTTATTTTTTTACAAAGGATAAAAATGAAGGGTTTTGCGAAATTTGGAGGAAAAAAGTTGGTCAGGATAAACCGTTTTGGAACACAGAGAGCAGTTGTTTTTGAATAAGTTTGTAATTTCCTATGAACAAAACCATTTATAAATTTGTTTTTTATCAGTGTGTGGAGAGCTAACAAAAATCGGATGCGCAAATTTTTACCGCGCAACTTTGTAAAATAAGATAAATCGAAAAGATTTGAGCCTTTGACTATTGTTATTTTTTTTTTACAAAACGATAAAAACTAAAGGCCTTGCCAAATTCGGAGGAAGGAGGATCGGGACAAGCCGTTGTGGAACACAAACAGTAAGAACTGTTTTCGGCCTTTTTGGCCAAATTTTTGTACTTTTCGGTCAAATTTTCCGTATTTTTTTCCATCTTGAGGTAAACGAGGAACCTCACAGCCTGCCAGTTGTTTTTGAATAACTTTGTAATTTTCTATAAACAAAACCATCTATAAGTTTGTTTTTTTATCAGTGCATAGAGAGCTAGCAAAAATCGGATGCGCAAATTTTTACCGCACAAGTTTTTAAAGTAAGATTCTGGCATCCATGCTGTCTCCTTCCCCCTCCCCCGCTTTTAATTCTTTTAAAAGCGTTAAATTTGTTACCCCTCCTCTTTCTTATTT